TTGTTGGAGCAAGATTGCGCATGGTTGATAAATGCTGAAACTGGGTGATAGGGACACACATGGGGTTCATTACACTATACGCTCCACGTTTGCACTACGTATTTAAAAGTTCCAATATAAGGAGGGTGGGCCCCTCCAGCTTTCTCTTCCTCTGCTGCACTGACTCAGCAATTGCAGATGGCAGGACTATAAAAAGGAAGCAGCTCAAAACCCAGAGTCACCACTTGGAAGACAGCTTTCCTAGAGAGTGGCAGGATTCACAGCCATCTTCCCACAAACAAAAATCAAACCTGTTCATGTTAAGCCGTTTTTGTTTCAGAGCTTGCTATTACCTCAGCTATGAGAGTCATAGGTGTATGTAGTTTTAGAGAAAATTTAGTCTGGGAATGGCCTTTACGGTCTGGGGCTATGTAAGAAATCATCAGGAACTTGGAAAGGAAGAGGAGCAGAAAAGGTCAGCCACTGAGAAATCCCCATGGAAGAGTTGCTGAAGGATTCTGGGTGTGGTGATTAATGTAAATTACTTGCCTACAATGTTGCTTTGCTCCTTTGTCCCAGCACTTCAGTAAAGTCTCTTGTACACAAATGCTTTATATGAGTGGCATTTGGGGGAATATTGATGTGAAAGATCTATGCCCTGCATCACGGCTGGCACAAGAAAAGAAAATGAGAATGGCCATGGGCAGTGTCACAGGGGTGAGACGGACAGTTTGGCAGGAAAGAGAAAGTGGAATGGCAGCTGCCTGTGAAAATTTAAGGTTCCAGGGAAGCATAAAAATCCTGGAGGGGCAACAGACACCCCAGCATGTAGGAAAGGGTTTGGACCAATTTTCTTTACATTTCAAAGAAGCCCCAAGATGATATTGGGGTTCCATAATTACATACTTTTTGAACATGTCTTTTGTGGGTTATTCTCAGGACAGAGCAGGGTTGTTCTAAGATGGTTTATGACGGGACGAGTGGCACTACTTTCTCCATACTAGAGTGTACCAAGGCACGTCCAGCTGAAATATCCTCATGACAAAAAGCAAAAGCAAGGACAGATCCAGAGACGGTAGTTCAAAGTGGCCTTCAGAAACAAAGGTAGACGTAGGTGTCATGTCCACGAAAACAGCAGACCTGCGAGAGTAGAGTCAATCATCCGTTCATCCATCACAATAACCAATCATTGCTCTGCAATGTATAACCTGCCAGAGATACAAAGGATGATAAGACATGGTCTCTGCTCTTGAGAAACTCACACCTAAATGGGAAAGAAAAATTGGCAAACAGACCATAATGATAAAGTGGAAAGAAATAGAAGAAAAAAGTATCTTCAAGATTGGGTAAGAAAGTCCAAGCGAGATCTTCTAGAAGCAATAATGGCCAAAGCATGAAGGAGATGGCATTGCAGGGCTAGAAAGCAGCATGTGAAAAGGCTCTGAGGTGAAACAAGGTGGTGATGCACTTGAGGAACTGAGGCAGTTTTGTACGGCTAATGTCTAAGGTTAGGGAGGAAGGACAGAGAGGTGTCAGGAGGTGAGCAAGAAGACAGCAGAAATGGCCAAGCCCACACGCTTTACCTTTTTAAGGAAATCCCTTCTGGAAAGAGTGTGGAGGACAAATCTGAGGAGAGTAAACTGTGGGGAGAGGCAAGTTAGTAATGCACGGACAGACCACGAGGGCCTCAGAGAAGGAGCTCACAGTGGGGATGGAGATAAGTGAGCAAATTCTAGCAATTAAGAGAATCAAAGTTAGAGGAGGGGGCGAGTGGTCAGATGTGAGGAATGAGAGAAAGAGAGCCATCGATTGTGACTGCTAGTTACTCAGCTTGGACAACTGGGTGGACAACTGGACCTGGGGGAGCTGCTTGTCAAGAGAAAGTTGTGCAATCAAAATACAACGTCTCCCTCATTCTTCAGCTTCTAATTACACTGTTCCTCTCAAGTGGAAAATTGAAGCATTTATAATTCAATGTCATGTCACTCAATTGAGCCACACAATCTCCATTAATCATAGGTTGGAAAAGTTATTTTCCAACTGACTGACAGCTAATACAATCTGAATATTTGGGTTAAAATGGAAAAGTAAAAGATGACGGGCCCTGTTGCCATCGCATCCTGAATGCTGCTGGTCCCCAATTCTGTAGTGATCTGCCTTGAGGTTTGACATGCCCAGTGGCCAAGAATAAGAAGAAAAATTCTTAATGGCTTCCAAACTGCTAACATAAGCTGTAACAAAGACAGTTCAAAAGAGAATTTGAGTTAGGCAAAGACTTCTTGGATATAACACCAAAAGCACATGCAACAATGAAAAGAGATGAACTGGACTACATCAAAATTAAAAACTTTTGTGCTTCAAAGAACAACATCAAAGTAAAATGACAATATGGAAAGGGAGAAAATGTTCATAAATCAAAAATCTAATAAGAAACTTGTATGTAAAATATATAAAGAGATATGTTACAATTCAGTAATAAAAAGACAACCCAATTAAAAAGAATTTGAATAGACTTTTCTCCAAAGAAAATAGAGAAACAGCCAATACACACATGAAAAGATGCTCAACATCATTAGCCATCAGGGAAATACAAATTAAAATCACAATGAGATACCATTTCATACCCATAATATGCTATTAAAAAAAAAAAAAAAAAAAGGCCGGGCCCGGGGGCGC